CCAATAGATGAGACAAATCCATGTAAAAATGCCGGTAGGAATAGATGGAAATGGAAGCCAGGACTACTATACGCAATATAACTAGGCTAAAAATTTATAAAAAAATAAAATAATGCTCCAAAATGGCTTACTGGAAAGGAGTGATTCGATCCGACGGAAAAGTTGTCATTCATGTTAGCGTATAATATTTAAATTTAAGATACAATCTAATGACTTGGCTTTAATTTTTTTATGTAAATATTCTAATAATTATTAAAAAAAAATTTTTAAAGTGACATTTAAAATGTCAGACTTTAAGCTTATAATTAAATATTAAAAAATTGGCAGGTGTATATTTTAAAGTAAACATGTTTGTTATATGCATAAAATGTTTCATTAATTATACATATGTATTCAACTCTGGCTAAGTGCGAGTAGCGGTCTTTCTGAAAATTTATCCCTGTGGCCCACCCCGCCGCGGAACAAACATATTAGCAAAGCTAATCAAATTTAAAAATTATCTTAAGATTATTTATCGTGTATATCATATAATGAGGTCCAATTGTAATCAGAATTTGAAAATATCATTTATAACAATCTATCGAGAGATAATTTGAAAAATTTATAAGAAATTCTCTCTTGATCTTTCTACAAAAATTGACACATGAGAAACAAATTGCACATGTTCCAATTTCTTGATATTAATACTGCTGGACAACAGTCGTAGTTTGAGAAGTTAAATTGAAGAGATAAGCTTTTAGTTTAATCAAGTTTGTTTTAATTGTGGCAAATTCCTTTTTGTATGCCGATTTGTAGTCAGAACTATAATTTTAAATAGAATTTAGATAAGTATATGAGGAAGAGTATAATTCTTAGATGATTCATATTTTTGAACCTGGGAAGGAAAGTATATTCTTATACTCTCCGGTTTCGGAAGAAAAGATTTGAGGTGTAGTTAAGGGTGGGGCGTGGGAAATCTATGGAAATTATGAATCCAATTTTCCTTTATCGGACTTTCTGATCCGTATATCAGAATACACCAGCACTGTGTAAACAAGATATGGTGTTGACGATAACGAAGCAAGTAAATCGTGGAGGCTGGTTTAGATGTAATGATATTGAGGAGGATAAGGACTGAGAATCTGATAATAAACATGATTTTATTTAATAATTATACCTATTTATATAGAGAATAGGAGCGTTTATAGCAGCTGATACGTTTAGAATCATTGAAAGATAAACATTTACATGCCAGAAATATGGAGATGACAGTGTAAAAATACTTCCAAAAACATTAATGCCAATCATAAAAATTACATAACCACCAATGTTGGCAATAATAATTAATGAAAGTGAGCGAAATAATTTGCGAATTTTTTCGTCTGCCAAATCTGAAGTTAAATTTAAAATTGTAAAAATGCTTGATTTTAGAGTTCATATAATAGTTTCAAACGCTTGTCAGAAAATATCATTCAACTATACAAGTGATTAAATGGAGTACCATCAGAAAGGATACGGTAATAAGAGAGCTCTCGGCTATTCTTCAATATCTCAAGATGGGGATATCCCTAAGATATAAAAATCTATCAAAATTATATTTACTTGCCTCCTTTATATTTTGCTAATAATCCAACTATTACATGAGCCAAAGCTGAACCCATAAGAGGTATGAGCAAAACAATTGCGGTATTGAACGGCGATGGCATGCTAATGGTTAGATCTCCTATATATCCTGTCACTGGCCAATCTGGATATTCATTCACTGAGATTATTAAACTGGATATATCAAAGATAAAAAATGAAACGATTGACAAGATGTGCAAATAAATGTACATACGAAAATTGAGTTTGAGATAACTGAAATTTTTTAGTAATAAGCAATATAAACATTGCTCTGGTGTCAATCTAAAAGGTGCCACCGTCTATTGGATGTACCTAAAAAGCTATGTAACGGACAGAGAATTCCTAGTTTTTGTAGCTGGAATTTTACGAAATGTCTTTAAAGAGAATCATCATAAGATGCTATTCGTCAATTTTATGGATAAAGCAAAGGACCTTCAGACATTTTATCTTAAATTCATCTCAAATTAAATATATTACTTATTTGGCATTTTGTCTTTTTTGGCGACGCGAAAATCCTCGATTTAAATTTACTTAATTTATAGGTCATCTTAATATTATATATGTAAATTATTATTTCTTACAATAAAGGAAAAGCAACTGCAAGAACTCTGTCAATGCTCAAATTCAAAAGCATAAAGCAAACACAATTTGTAATAATGACTGATAATCCTTCTATTTTAAATGCCAAAGAGGCCCTTATAAAATTTGTTCCAGTAGCTGTGACATAAAGGAAAACAAAATGCCCTGCTTGATGAACAACCTCTAGGAAGGAGTTGATAGCAATTAAAACAGAGGTTTTGGATTTGAATGTTGTATATTTTCCCCTAAATTAAAATTTTGATTAATGCAAAATTGCAAATTCACAAAAAATTTAAGTACACAAACTATCAAAAATGTATTTTCAATTTAAATTTCATCAACTTGTTACTACGGAAACGTTGGATACCTATTTTATATAACGATTTTGTCTCTAGCAACGAGTTTAAATCGAGATAGAACTAGAGAGCGAGATTTTCAAAAAACCTTGACCTTGATCCTTGACCTTGATTTTGATTGGGAACCTTAACCTGATTCTTGACCTTAACTGAAGGAAAAATCAAGGAACGCTGAAAAATGCCTTGATCTGGACTCTGGATCCAGAAAAAATCAAGGTCTGGATCCATATCCAGACCACTCTCTAGGTGGAACTATTTTTAAGAGTACAAAGCTAATCAAAAACAAGTGTGTAAACGAGGAGACCAAAATGCCACAAATGAGACCAGTAGTTAATGAAAACTTCGTGGCAGTGTCAAAATTTGCTATTAAATGTAGCATCAAATTATAGTCAAAAAATACCAATATTTCCAAGTAATATAACAAACACTTGAATTTAAAAATATTCCAATAGCTGAAAGAATTCCAAGAATAAATGCAGGAAAAAATAGAGGAAAATGGAAACCAGGACTGCTATACAGAACATAAATTGGCTAAAATATTTTTATCAAAAATAAAGTAATACTCCAAAAAACTCACTGGAAAGGAGTAGTTCGGACCGACGGAAAAGTTATCACTCATGTTAACGTATTTATCATTAAAATATATTTAAATAAAGAAAGAGTTTAGCAAAAGTTTAGCCACTGGTCAGAGTTCTAGCTAATACAATAATTTAAATCTGCCTATAAAATCTCCTAAAATAGTGTATCAATAATAGAAAATACCTAAAATACCTAATCTGATACTTAACCTCTAACCTTTTAGGGAATACCGGCCTATTTAGGAATACCGGCCCGTTTCAGTTCTTTTCGAACAATCAATCGGGCATCGAATTGGGTGTTAGGGTGTCTGATTTAGTGTGTCTGCTTTAAAATAACTCTTAGCCTGATTCGATAATAATGAAGCACGAAAAACCTGACCGGGCCATTTTTTTTCGTGCTTCATTATTATCGAATCAGGCTACGAGGTATTTTAAAGCAGACACCCTAACACCCAATTCGATGCCCGATTGATGGTTCGAAAGAACTGAACCGGGCCGGTATTCCTAAATAGGCCGGTATTCCCAATTGTCAACTAACTTAATCTAATACATATTTTAAATTGACTTTTTAATATAACTCATCTAATGATAAAAATTCATTTTAAGCATAATTTTACAATTAAAAAATTTTTTTAATTTTAATGGAAATTAAAATAAAATCACCATGACAAACAATAATAATATTTTTATTTTTTAAGTTGCGTTCTTTTTACTAATAAAATTTTTTATTTTTATCCCAGTATATACAAAATAATGGATAAAAAGACTTTTAATGTTTGAATTATTAAAAAAATTATTTCTCATGGTTAATTGAAATAATGAAAATAAAAGTGTAAATATTATCTCAATAACTATTTGTTTTGTAAAGACCGGTTTTAGTTCAAATTAAAATTAACTCATTATGAGTAAACTTTTTTAAATTACGGTAGGTCTTTGAGAGGGCATTTTTCATTAGTCACGCTATCTCTAGCAACAATGAACCTTAATTAAAAATAATAGTCATATCGAAGTAAAGTATGTATAACGTCAAACCTCATTTTAAAAGTTCCATTTGGAAAGGGAGAAAGCGGCAGATCTAGCAAAAATGAGGAAGGATACGCGGAAGGCATAAAAGACTGAATGAAAGAAAAACCATCACTGATAATAGCATCACATAATAAGCCAACCTCTAATTTCTATCCGTGTTATGTATCTCCTCTTTGCTCGGCGAGGTTCTGGATGAGGACAGAGACGAGGTTCCGTGGCCTGAGATCGGCAAAATCGAGGTCAAAGAGACCGGTATAATACCGCCCAATACCGGTCGGGATCCCGATACCACTGAACCCTAGGTATGTATAACACTCCTTTCTGCTATAACCAATAAACTTGACGTCTGGCCAACAAAATTGGCCAACCAAAGTTGGCCAACTTGCCAAATTGGCCAGGCTAACCAACCATTTGCCAACTCATCAACTCATCTCTTAAATTGCCCTCTCCTTTCCCTCTCCCTTACCCTTTATTACCCTCTCCTTTCCCTCTCCCTTTCCATCTTCCCTCCCGATTTTATTTTTTCATACACATGATTTTGGCATTCATATGACATTCAAAGAGCGCATGTCTTTTAATTTCTATCGCCTCCCAAATTTAATAAAATTTAAAAGAAAATTAATTTTTACTTCATAAACTTGCGGCAGATAGTTGCGGCAGATCTAATAGGAATGAGTAATGATACGCGGAATGAATAAAAGACGGAGTGAAGTCAGAAAAACCATTGCTGATAATAGCTTCATATAATAATCCCACCGTAATCTCTCCTCGCTGCTATCACCTCTTTATGTATATTACTTCTCTGTTATCACCTGCGATATATTTCTCTCTCTCTCTCTAAGCATTGGATTTAGCAAGCACGCGGCTGCGGTTTTCCCTTAAATTGCCCTTCTCCATCTTACCTCTCGATTCTTCTCTCTCGACCTTCCCTCTTTACATCTTCCCTCTCGGATCTTCCCTCTCGACTCTTTCCTCTTTATATCTTCCCTCTCGATTCTTCCCTCTCGACCCTTTCCTCTTTGCATCTTTCCTCTCGATTCTTCCCTCTCGACCCTTTCCTCCTTGCATTTTCCCTCTCGATTCTTCCCTCTCGACCTTTTCCTCCTTGCATCTTTCCTCTCGATTCTTCTCTCTCGACCTTTTCCTCTTTACATCTTCCCTCTCGGATCTTCCCTCTCGACCCTGTACTTCTTTACATCTTCCTTCTCGGCATTCATATGGCATTCGAAGCGCGCCTGACTTTTTAATCAATCCGCAGATTTAAATTAATTTTAAATTGGCAAGAAAATAGATTTTTACTTAATAGTCAGTTGCCTGGCATGTTTAATTTTAATTTTGGTATTTTTAATTTTTAGTTTTAATTTTACTATAATTCTTTCCTCATTAACTCTCATCGTTAATAGAATTTAAAATTAATTTTTAAGAATTTTTTAAGGTTTTCTTCTAGTTTTTTGTTTTAAACTCATCAATTTAAGTAGCTAAAATGCATTGAATAATTTCATGTGTATGTATTCACCCACAATATGTGATACAATTCACTGCTATAAACCTCATAACTCCTTGTTAATGCCTAAATCTGAGAATTAAGCAGCACACAATATTAAAAATTTTTATGATATGCTAAATGTTTGTGAATAAGTTTAGGATATTTAGGAAAATGATTTTCCGAATTTTGTCAGAAAATTTGAAAAAAGACCTTTGGAAGGGCAGTAAAAAAGAAAAACATCTAAAAATCATATCTTTATTATGATAACGGCAATGTTTAACCTAGAATCTTAATCCTGTTACCCAAATTATGTAAAGAGGCGACTTCGACAGATAGGCTTGTATCAGTCCCAGAAAATCTGAGAATTAAGCATTTCTTAGAGATTCTAGATCCCCAGTGTCTCTGCAGTACCGAAAAAACCACAAAATTTTTAAGTAGAACTCAACTCATAAGTATAACTCAACATCACTATAACTTTAAGTAGTCTTTTAATTCAACTTTTAAGACAAATGTTGTTTGGGGTATCAAGAAGGATATCTTAGGATTTTGAGGGATATTTTGAGCGTAGAGGGATATTTTTTTTGCGTATAATATTCCCTCTAAATCTCTCGCTACTTCTATACGCATATATGATTTTTAAATGTCTAGGTTAGAGAAATGGAAAATTGAAACTTTGTAGATATATTATTGTTTAGGGATTTATTAAAATCCTGGATAGTGTTTTATAGGTATATGCCATAATGCAACCAACTATTCACCGATTCACGATTCTTGAAAATCGTGAATTCCAGACGATTTTTGGCTCGTGAATTCACGATTCCAGAAAATCGTGAATTCTTAGGGGTGTCTTAGGGGTCAATGGTTCTTAGATCTTATGGGTCAAGGTTTCTTAGGGGTTTCATTGGATTTTATATTTAGCTTCGGTCCTCGGCCAGGTTCTGAATGAGGACCGAGACGAGGTTCCAAGGCCCGAGATCAAAAAAATCGAGGTCGAAGTTGGAAAATCGGCGAGGACCTCGGCCTCTGCGAGTCTAATATTTTATTATTATTTTTTTTATTATTGTTTCATTATTACTAATATTTTACTAATATTTCTAATATTCGACCAACTAATATTTTAACTAATTTCTTAAGAAATGATTTTCATTTTTGAAATTGGTTTAAAAATTCTTATTCTTAAATATTTTTTGAGTATTGAGATCGATATAATTTGCGGTGCACCAGGAGGAAATCGCGGGAATATACATCACCACTATGGTAATCTATCAGTTAAAAAATGAATTTATCTAATATATTCTCTCAAGTAATTAGTTTGATATTGAGATTATATAATTGTAAAGCATATAGCTATTAATTTCCTAAGGCTGTGCAGTAGGCAGCGTGGTGTAATGGCTAACACATCAGTCCGGTCCTACTGAAGATGCTGGTTCGCTCCCAGCTGCCGAATAACTTTTGCAGTAGCTAAAGTAGAGAAATAGCTATAGCCCAGCTGCTTTACTATATTGAGATTGATATAAATTACGGTTTAATTTATAAATAAATTCGTTTCAAATAGGAAATCTTAGGATTGGAAGATAATATTACGGACGGATGGGAAGGTTTAATAAAAGAAGCTATTAATATTTTCCAAACTATTTCCAATAAATTGGCATATTTTTAATAGAAACTAATAATATTTTTGTATATCTAGGTGTAAGCAATGTTGATCATGATCAAAATCCTCAACCCGAACAAACTCAAAACTACGAAATGTTTCAATATCTTTTGCGCAATCCTCCAGAAATAGGTTAAAATTTTGAAATTACTTATGAATTTCATTACAAAGGGATAAATAACAAAAAAAACTAAATAACATTTATAGATCAATATTTGTAATGAAACAATAGATAAAGGGAGATAACTTGGGATTTGCTGGGAAAAGTAGATTTAAGATAACATGAGATTTAGGGATTAAGTAGATTCAAACCTTGGGGTTGATTTTCAGATATTATACCCTTAATCCCCATATATCCGACTTAATCCACCAACCGATATTCCTCCTAATACACAGATATACTCCAAATCCGAATATATCACTATTAATCCTCAGATATTATGCCCATATAAAATATTATACAAGATATTATCTTTAAAACCCATATAAAATTCCTTTTATTCCCCCATTCGATATCCCTCCAAATCCACAAAAATCTCTCCAAATCCGGAGATATCACTATTGATCCTCAGATATTATACCAATAGATATTATCACAGATATTATACCCTTAATCACCTATATTCCGCTTAATCCACCCCCCCCCCCCACCCGATATTACTTCAAATCCTACGATATCACTTCGAATCATCTATATCCGCTCTAATCCCAAGATATACCTTTATTAATCTAATAAATAATTAATGAAATTTTATTTATAGGCAACTTCCAGCCTTCAACATCATTACAGGTCTATTTAAAAATTCAAACCTTATGAGTGCCTTTCTGAATTTATAAAAAAAACCTTTCGGTATTACCTAAAATTACAATATATCTTCCAACCAAAAATTAAGTTAAACCCAATTTTATTAAAGCAATATTAAAAGTAGTATCATTATAGCAATTTTGAAATTTTTTAGCAAGAAAATATACAAGGATCGCAAGGATCATCGTTCGTCTCACCGCATGAAGAAGTTCACGATAATAACTTTTCGGGATGGAATGATTTTAGGTTAGTTTTATTCTAATAAAATTTTAAATCATGGAACAAAAAAGAATTTGAATGTATTTTTGGAGTATAGAACACTAAAATAGATCTGTTTTGAGTCACGGAAAATTCGATTCTATAATATTTTTTAACAGTAAAATCTTTAATGTTCCAGTGCTAAAAGAGATTATAATCATTATTTGCAATATCAACAACACGATGAGGGATTAGATAACTCGTATTATGCCACAAATAACTGTATACATCCGAATGCGCAGCAATATGTAGGTTCTGCACAAAGTTTTCAAATACACCCGAATGCGCAGCAATATAATTCTGCACAAAGTTTTCAAATACATCATGAAACTAATCACGAAGGCAGTAATCTATTTACATTACTTACTATCATTTTCCTATATCGTTAATATAATATTTTTGCAATATCTTAGATTCAAGAAATCTTGGTTCTGATCGAATTACACATCCCGAACAAGCACAAAACTATGAAATGTTTCAAGATCTTTTACGCAATCCACCAGAAATTGATCAAGAAGATTTAAAATATAAATCAAAGACTTCCCCGTGTGAGTTTTTTTAATCTATTTTAAGTCGATAATACAAATCGTAACTTTTCAAAACATGACTCACAGAGTCCATATTTGTCGAATAATGCTGATCTCGACGCAGATAATACAGTAATATGTATAAGTTACAGGAGGGTTATATTAGGACTGTAGTTAAATATACATATATCTTTAATACATCAAATCTTATTAATACTTCCAAATCCCCTTAATCCCTATGATTCCCTATCAAACCAATTCTCTCTCTCATTATCAATACCTCGATATTTCCATAAATCACTACAAATCACAATAATCCAGTCAAATCCTTTGTAATCACTCTAAAAAATTGTGTTGATTAAATTGGGGGCCGTTTCTCTTAATAATTTCCCGTTTCTCATAATAATTGTCCATTTCTCTTAATAATTTTAAAATTTAGTTAGATCACCCATCTGGGATTATTATACAATTTTCTTTAATGACGATGGTGTTCGACGTGTTCAATGTAAATTTTGTAGCAAACAATATAACTTCAAACCAGAGTCTACCTCAGCAAATTTCAAAGATCATCTCGAAAAGAAGCACAAAGAACAATTTAAGGAATATCTTAATAAAACAAAACGCAATAAAAAGGAAGATGAGGGTTCATACATATTTTATAAAGCATTACTTAATCTAATAGATATACAGTAATCCATTAATCCTCTGTACATTTTGGGAACATGGAAGTTTCCTGAATAATTTAGAAAACTTCAACTATTCTTTTGTTCTCCCTCATAATATTATATTTAATTATTCTAAGATGCAAGTGATATTGGTTCTGATCAAACCCCACATACTAAACAAACACAAAACTACGATATACTTCAACAGTTTTTGCCACCGGAAAGTGCTGAGAATAATTTGGAAATGAGTTCAACAAAACCACGTCAGTTTTTAAATATAAAGGGGGCATGCAAATTGTTGGGTTTTTGTGAAGTCTGAGAAGCTAAAATTGGCCGAAATTGACTAAAAATAATCACATTCTAAGAAAAATTTTTAAAAACCTAGAATAATTCCAAAAAGGTCGAAATAGGCTTAAATAGATCTTAGGTCCGAAAAGGCCGAAATAGGTTTTTAGGTTTAAATAACTCGAAAAGCACGTTTCATTGTGCGATAAAACAGTGTTTTTTCGACTTATCTCATTAAGGGCCGTTCGCAAAAATAGGTAATAATTTTATTATTTAGGTACATCAATCATCTGGAAATATTTTGGCATCTTTCATGATAATGGTGAACGATATGTTCAATGTAAAATTTGTCAACGTCCATTTACATGGCAGTTAAATACTTCCTCGGGAAGATTCAAGGGCCATCTTGATACGCACGTAAAAAATTTGCAAAAAATGAAGCGTGCTCATAATGAGGCGTGATTCCGATTACTACCCCGACGATTTTTGGTACTCTTGTGTTATCTCCCACCATTTTATTTTTTCTTCAAAGTATTTAAATGTGATTCTTTTTAAAGTAGAGTAGGTCAAGATCGAGGTTTTTTTAAAAAACCGAGACCGAGGCAAAGAGGTAGGTAAAGCCGAGATCGAGGTCGGAGGGGAAATTTGGCCGAGGTTCGAGGATAACCGAGGTGTTAAAAATTTTTATTCAACTTCAAAATTTAAATAAATTTACCAAATTTTATCAAAAATACACTAAATTGTTATCAAATTCATCTTTTTAATCTTATCAGATTCAGTAGGTAGCCCAAGCGTCAGTTTAGATACAGGTCTTGTGGATAATTCTCACTCCTATTTCTGTTAAAAAAGTCAAACTTTAGGGGTGTATATTCAACCTCGATCCTCGGCGAGGTTCTTGACGAGGACCGAGAAAAGGTTCCGAGACCAGAAGTCAGCAAAATCTTGTCGAGGCTTAAAAATGGGTGATGACCTCGGCCTCGGCGAGGCCTCGACCTCGACCTACTCTACTTTAAGGTGATTGTTAAACGAAATTTAAATTTTTTATATCCATTTGACATTGATTATTAGGGATCGGAGTCTTAGTTCGTAAAAACCTAAAAGTGGGTAACTAAATAGGTTGCAAAAGAGGATAAATAGGTGGCAGAAGCTCTAAATGTATTTACTAAAATAGTAACCCAATGAACTTACTTTTTTAATTACTTTATTTTCACTAAGTAGGGTTATTTTCTCTAGGTTCTCTAAGTAGGCTCTAAGTAGCCTCTCAAATCTGCCGATATCTTTTTTAATCACCAAATCATCTGATATAACTTCTAATCCCCAAAATCGCCAATATCCTTTTTAGCACTCTAAATTTTTTGATATCGACTTTAATCCACCATATTCTCCTTAATAGCTAAAAATCTCCTTTTATCCCATAGGTGATAACAATAGTTTGAGCTCAATTCATTAAGACTAGTTCGCAAAAAATAGTTTATAACCTAAAAATCCGATCCCTATTGATGATTTACGAAAAATTGTAGAGTACCCCCAACTAGAAAATTACAGTACCCCCTACCCCCTAACAGCTCTGGTTAACTCGGTATTTCTTTTATTCTATCGAAACTGAAACAGTTTTTATTGGGAAAATATTCGATTATAATTCCAATTACATTCTAATATCAATTTTAAGTAGAAATTCGTTTTAAAATTAAAATTTGGATGTAATTTGAATTTGAATCTGATAGTTACCCCATATTTTTAATATATCTTTTCATGTTTATTTTCCCTTTATATTTTAAAGTATTTTAAATGTGATTCACTTTGATATTGTAAAGCATATAGCTATTAATTTCCTAAGGCTGTCAGTAGACGGCGTTGTGTAATGCTAACACATCATTCCGGTCTACTGAAGATGCTGGTTCGCTCCCAGCCGCCGAATAACATCTTGCACTAACTAAATGAGTGAAATAGCTATAGCCCAGCTGCTTTAATATTAAGTTTTTATTTTTTTTATATTTTTAAAGATTTAGATTATAGTAAAATTATCTCTGTCTCTTTTACATAAAGACATAATATTAGAGCCCGACCGAGACGAGACGCAGTCCGGGCTTAGTTAATAGAACTAAACTTAATTTTCGGGGTCAACTTTTAATTATAACACCCTAAAATTTTATTTATTTATCAAATACCGTGTCTGGTGAAAAAGTCAGTTGTTAATTGGACAGTGAGTTAATTGGGCAGTGAGTAATTTGGGCATTAACTTAAAATTTTTTAAATTATTTAAAATTTATAAGTAAATAACATTCCCTTTAGAAGATCTTTTTAGTTCAAATTAAAATTAACCTTTTATTAGTAAACTTTTTTAAAGTACGGTAGGTCTTTGAGAGAGCAATGTTTCATTAATCTTGCCATCTCTAGCAATGATAAATCTTAGTTAAAAATCATTGTCATAACATAGAAAAAATAAACCCCAACCTCATTTTAAAAAGCGCAAGACGTATAAGGAAAGAAGCGGCAGAACTAGCACAAATTAAGAAGGATGCGCGGCCTGAATAAAAGACGGAATGAAGTAGGAAAACCATCACTGATAATAGCTTCACATAATAATCACACCGATAATTTCTATCCGTTTATCTCCTCCTGCTATAACCTCTTTATGTATATCACCTCTCTGCTATAGCCAAAAGACTTGGCATTTGGCCAAAAAATGCCGCGCTCTTCTAAGGATGCCCTTAAAATGCCCTCTCTCCTTTCTCCCCATCTTCCCTCCCGATTTTATTTTTTTGTTATCACCTGTGATATCCCCTCTCTGCTATAGCCAGTAGACTTGGCATCTGGCCAACAAACGCCGCGCCGCTCCTAAGGATGCCCTTAAATTGCCCTCTCCCTCTCTCCTTCTTCACTCCCGATTTTATTTTTTGTTATCACCTGCGATATCCCTCTCTGCGATAGCCAAAAGACTTGGCATTTGGCCAAAAAATGCCGCGCTCTTCTAAGGATGCCCTTAAAATGCCCTCTCTCTTTTCTTTCCATCTTCCCTTTCTTTCTCTCCATCATCCCTCCCGATTTTATTTTTTCAGGCATATGATTTGGCATTCATATGGCAGTCAAAGCGCGCATGCCTTTTTAATTTTTATCGCTCCCAAATTCAATAAAATTGACAAGCAAAATTGATTTTTACATTATAGACAGTCGCCTGGGCATTTTAAATTTTTCAATTTTCAATTTCCTCCTCATAAACTCTCGTTAATAATAGAAAATAACATTTAAATTTTAAAGAATTTCTTAAGGATTTTCTCAAGTTTTTGTCCAAAACTTATTAAAATATGTCTGTAGTGGTTTTTTGCAACTATATAATAGAAACCTACACATCTTTAAAAATTTTTTTGATCTGATAAATGTTTGTGGATAGGGTTAGGATTTTTTAGAAAGTGATTTTCCCAATTTTGTCGGAAAATTGGAAATAAGTACCTTAGGAACTTGAGGAAAAAAGAAACATTAACATAAAAATCTTATCCATATTTGTGATACCGGTATTGTTCAACTAAAATTAGGATTGTGCGCGACCGGTTTTAAACCGAAAATTTGGATATTTTTGTCAAATAATTAATCGTTTTTATAAAATTTAAAAACCAAAGACTTCTGAAAATGAGTGATTTTATTGAAAATTCCCCCGAAATAAAACCGGTATTTGTCTAAAACTCAGAACCAAAAACCGGTTTTTAAAATTTGGATTAACCGAAAACCGAGGGTACCGGTTAATAACCGACATAAAATCTTTATGCACAACCCAACATAAAATCTTTTAGTTATTTAAGTTTTTTGAAAATAAATTTTCTTAAGTAAAGAGACGACTTCGACAGATAGGCTTGTATCAATCCCAGAAAATCGGAAAATTAAACATTTCCTAGAAATTCCTCATCCCCGATGTCCGAATTTTCCAAATTTAGACAAGTAAAATTTTTCATTTCCCTATCTTATCCTATCTTAACATTCATTGCCTAACTTAGCGATATTTTTGTCTTTAGATCCTGTTATTAAAGAAAAAATTTTAAGAAATTAAAATGAACATTCAAGGCCACAAATTGTGGTGGCCTTTGTTTTTTAATTCTGTTGTTTTAATTCTGTTGGTTGCGCAGATGGCGGATTGTGAATTAAACAATGAACCAGAAATTGAAAAAAGAGTAATTTCAATACCCCCAGACATAACGAAGGATTTCTGGAAGATTAATACTCTTGTGAAAAATATTTTTACAAAGGGGACGATAAATGTAAATAAAGAGTTGGAAAAGCTGCAAGTATTAAATCCGAATATCTTAAATTTATTTAAGTACAAAAAAGGATTTGAAAGATTAAATATATATGTTAAAAGAGAACTTGAGAAGAAGAACGATGCAGCGATAACACAAACCGATTTGATAACAAATTATGAGGTTTAGTTTTAAATCGGGTTAAAATCTTACATGGAGGTTCGAAGCTATGATCTTAGCCTTAATATTAGGGCTTCACCGGAAGTTCCGGTTCAGGAAACAAGAGAAAGTTCCGGTTCCGGATTCCTGAACTCAAAAACATACATAAACAATTAGAGGGTGTTGATTAGATAGATTTCTAACAGAAATCACTGATGCGGAAAATAGTCAGCGACCCCTTGACTAAACTAATCGCTCTCCAACATCAAGCACTCGGCTAGGTGAAACTTGGATTTAAGCAAGTTAATAATGTAGAGTTAATAATTGAGAGCTTTCATGATTATCATTCATTCATCGAAGATAGATTGAGTCACTTGACTTAGTTCGTTTTAATTCTAGGCCCCTAAACTAAACTAATCGACATCTCCAACATCAAGCACCGGCTTCGTGAATTTAAGCAATTAAGACCTAGTTAATAATGTAGAGCTTTCAGGATTATCATTCAGTCCCTTGATTTAGTCCGTTCGACCCTTTATTTTCTAGATGGGTCTGAATCGCGTTACTAACGTGTTTGGTAGCGTGGGTTCATTAAAACAATAAATGAACTTAATGAAAATTAGTTTGAAAAAATTAGTTTGCCATTTTTTTCCTACAGTGGACAAAGATTCACTGTCTTTATCGTTGATTTAATTACATTAAAATTTAGGAATTGAATTACAGCTTGAATATATTAGTGGATAACGATTTCAAACAGAGAATAGAAACAAAACTTGCTTGTGATAATTTATTTCCCCAAGAATTGGAAAAATATTCCTTAAAAGAAATTTGTAGCCAGTTACAAAAGATGGTTAAAATTTATGGTGTTGGATTAGAAAACGTGTATGAAAAACAGACATATAAATTGGACATTAATTATGAAATTAAGACAATTTTAGAAGAATTGGATGGAATTTTTCATATTTTTGAAATTAAGAAGAACGGTAAAACATTTACAAATCTTAGGGAAGGGTTTGGAGGGGGAGGGGAGAGACGGGGTTCCTGTGTTGAACTAAACAACTAAAGATTTTGTTCGGCGCATTTCTTCTAGATAGTATATAGCTTTTCAATAAGTGTGACCAGATTACCTATCCAAACCTTGGGTAAATGGTAGGGTTTCACCGGACCCGATATTTTGACGGAACCGGATCCAATTTGAGTTCCAGTTCTAGGACTACAAAATCCCCTGATATTACCGATACCCCACCAATTTCATGATATCCCACCAACCAACCACCAATTTCCTGATATTACCGATACCCCACCATCAAATTACCCTTAATCCCCCCCCCCCACAGATCCCTAGGTATCAAATATAGAAATATTTCTCTTATGAAGAATCCATCGTTGAGGAGCCATGAAAGATAGATGTTTAAGAAGTACTGTAATTTTGTTCAAATTAAGATGTTCCTCGCATTTCTTATAATGATCTTCAACAAGAAAATATCAAATTAAGTAAAGATAACTCTGTGGAGAGTTTAGTGGAATATTCACTAAATTATCAACAATTGATGGCTGCCGTTGAATTTTTCAGTATCGAAGCAAACACAAGTGCATTATTAACATTTATCTCTAAAATCAAGAAAGGCGAGGATAAAGCAATGCTTAAAGAATTTAGTATAGCTTATATGCAGAAATATGCGGAAAAATTACATAAAACTCTGAATAAGAAAAATTCTATATTCGCTAGCAAAAATAAGCAGGTTAATTTATCCAAACCAGGTGAAATCCCAGAAGTAAACCTTATTAAATTTTAATGTGTTGAAAGGTCCAATATTAAAGAAGAACACGATTAAGCTTTCTTACATTTAGATTGTATATACATACATGTACTAGGCTTTCTCCAAATCAGACGACGGCCAGAATTCCAATTTCCGACTTCCGACGTTTTTTTCTTTCCGATTTCCGAGTTCCGACTTTAGTGACATTTTCGATTTCCGACAGTTCCGATTTCCGTCACCTTCGCCATTTCCGAAATACCTCTGCCCCAAATGTATGGAAGCATACTTGGTAATACGGTTGCTCTATATTTAGAAATAGGGTTGTCAGTTCATTGAAAACTCCCAGATATCCTGAACGGATCAGTCGTTCACTCTATTAAGCAATTCTGTTTTTAAGGCCAAATTAAACGACAAAATTACACAGCAATTAAACAATTTGGACATTGCAATTAATTTGGGGTACATGCGTTTTATTTACATGGAAGAATTTTGTAAAAATGTGGATAAAATATACAAAGGGGATAAATTAGGGACGTTCAAGGAGTATCTGAAGGATTACTGTATTGAAAAAATAAACAAGATTTTGGACAGTTTGAAAACTGTAATTAAATTTGATTAGGTGATCAAAGATGTGAGTGATTCTAAGGTTATAATAAAGTCAGATCTTCATTTAGGTATATTATTTCAGATAGAAGCATGTAAATATATGTACATACGTTTATACTTGATTTTGCGCAATATTTGCGACAACAATTTGAGGAACCTGTGGTGCTGAAGTTCGGAGGGCTTGAAGATCTAACAAAAGAACCTCAAGATGTTTTTGGATCTTCGAGTCAAATATGTACATTTCTTTAAATTTAAACCAGAAAGTTCCTCGTGAAGGATGAGACATGGTAAAATGCGCGTGTTTTGTTGATTTTGAACAAAATTTAAAAAGTTGTAGTAAGGTTCAACCTTGACATTTTCAGTTTACAAAGTTTTACAAATTTGATATAATTTTGTTCATAATCTCAATTTTTATGTTGCTATTAGTTCAATTCATATATTTAAACACCTATGTATATATTTTGTATATATTTTTGGCATAACATTTACAAAATTTTAATTAAATGTGTTGATTGAAACACAATCTTGGGTAGATTTTATAAGAGGGTATTGTAATATGATGATTAGGATGATCAGCCCGGTGTCTTAGATTAATTTTAGTGTACAATAATTTGTTAATGAATTACTCAAATTTATCTTTTATCAAAAACAATACTACACAAAGGAAAAATTTAAAACCGGAGGTAGCCAAGTTGCCAAATGAGGGAATGATAAGCAGTGCTGGTTATTTGTATCGAAGATCCCTAAATCTGAAGATCTCAAAGGCAAGGGTCTTTGAGACTTCAAGAGGCTTCTTGTGGATTTGAAGTCATGATAATAACTTCTGAAGTTATGATAATGAATTCAAAGTCTTCTTGTGGATAATAATCATCATTTTTCAGCCTAGGACACTTATACATCTTTGACCCATCCCCAGGTAGATTGATACAGCATGAAATCAGCACTGATATTTACATAACAGTTCAAAATTTAAAATAAATTCTTTGGGATAATAAATATTCAAAAACACTTTTCTTTCGATAATATCTTTTAAATCGCGTCCAAAATTGTCTCCTTGCGGATAATCCTCTCGTTAATCATCCTAATTGAAGCAAACTTTTCAAACTCGTCAAAATATGCTTTACATATTTATTACAAAAAGTATTCAAGTAATCCTTGAATGAAGCTAATATTTCCTCTCCGTATATTATATCAACATTTTCACAAAATTCATCCATGTAAATAAAACGCAAGTACCCCAACTTGACTAAATTATCTAAATTTATTTGACGCTGCACCATCTTGTCATTTTTCTCTTCCTTAAAAAATTTTTACAGCAAATTATTTTTGAAACTTTAATTAGCTATCAATTTTAAATCCTCCCATTTCTCAAATCTCGCAACATTCGGGACAGAGAACAACTTTACCTCCCAAACAGAGGCCGATCAAAATTCAGAGTTCCGACTTTTGAGCCATTTCCGATTTCCAACAGTTCTGATTTCCGGCTCCCAAATTCCACAAACTCCCAATGCTCCCAAACTCCACAAATACCAACTTTGGTTTCGGATTTAAACATATTTAGTTATGATATTATTTAATTTATAATTTGTATCATTGCCAAAAATGTTCTTTATGGACGCACTTTTCCAGTTTCTTAAAATAGGCCTTATGTTCGATGTGTAATATTCGAATTAGGGTTGCTGTTTTCGAACCGGGCCAACGTTTGAGTCATCTTTTCGGGACTTATTTTTTTCGGGCCATACCGGTCGAGTCTTTTAGGGCAAAATTTATGCCGAACAGGGTCGACAACCCTAATTTGAATGCTTTAATAATATTAAGCAACCCTATACCTTTTTTGTTTTTCTGATTTCAAAAACATGTTTTTTGCCTTGTTTTTTATCCGCTTTTTCAAAATATTTCAAAACATAATCTAGACTTTTTTCTTTAAATATTAATTTATCATCACTTTTTGCGATTTTGTTAACCATATCAAATAAAGCCTCGATGTTTCCTCGACTAACAAAATAATTAACGCAAGACACCAATTGTTGATAATTTTTTGAATGTTTTTCCAAGGTTGCTATAGGACTATTAACATAAAATTCGATATGTTTAAGTTGCGGATCAGGGTAGTAAATATGTGGAGTATCTAAATTTAATTTTAAAATTTAAAAACCTTTCTAAAGAAAATTATATTTTCACGCTTTATTTTGATTAAGTAACAATTAGCGGTAAAAATGGGCTGTATATGGATGGATTAACGGATCTAGGAGATATACTATAGTTACTCGATACTGTAAAAACATCAATTATAAATATTGACGGTTTAATTAAAAATCACCGGATAGCCGGAATATGAATGCGAACTGTAACTTAAAGACATCCAAAATTTTTTTGATTCCGGAACAAAGACGTACATTCATAGAGAAGTAAAAACGCATCCTCAGCAGAGTTGCGTCGTAATTGAAAATTTTTTTACGTAATCGTAATTCGTAACTTAAAAAACGCCGTAATTCGTAATTACGACGCAACTCTGATCCCCAGGACCCTTAACGGGATTTTCTTTCAATATTTTTATGCGATTAATCGCATAAAGCCTGTAACCCGTTTGTCTCCAAGGCGGAATCCGTAATTCACATTATCTGTACAATTTTATATTTTACTGTATAATAATTTTTTTACCTTCATTTTTAAAGTTTCTTTCATTTTTTAACTCTTTAATTTTTTTATCGGTAGTATCTAAATATCTCAAAATTGGATTAATAAATAAAAATTTTATTTACTAACCAAACTTGTTTTCCAACTCATTTAGCTTTGTTTCTCCCTTACTTTTTGAAGACTCTCCAACTACATTTTCAGAATAATTTGGAACATAATCTAATGAAACAAAATTTTTAAAAGGAAGTTATAAATTAAGCATTTTGATTATGAAATAGGACCAGAAACATTGATCTAACTTCACAGTTTTGACGGGGTGTTGTATGAACATCCCTAGTATTTTGAAACTTATACTAATATGTACATAAAAGTCACGTGATCCTGTCTATAATTGAGTAATCTTGTCTAGACTTTTTTGGCAATATAGAAAGAAATATTTGATTTAGGGATTGAGAAATAATAAAAATTAAAGAATAAAAAGGACTCTGCTATTTTCTTTTATCGTCCCGCGTTGCACTTAAGAGGATTTCATAATAGTTTGCACTTTTTCACTCGGATTAGTTGATAAAGCAAACGAATGAATCTTCTATTTGTTACGTATCGACTTGCGGTGTGTCCGATACTAACAGAAAGACTCGACTAACAAACAAAGGTTTATCACAAGCAACAATACAATAGGAAATAGGCGAGACTATGCGTTGGCTTTGACTAGAATAACAGACTAACTTTAGACTGACTATAGACTAACAACTAATCCCCGACTACTAAAAGGCTTCGCCTTTTATACTAAGCCGCCACCCTAACACCTCCCTTCTTTAATTAAGTCGGGACTACGCTTCCGACTAGACTTGGTGGACTTCAAAAAAAAACTACTAGCCAACACAAATAAAACATTGAAAATACATACAAAGGGCCAAAATACAATGTGAGCAACAAAAGGGGGATATACAATAATTACAAACAAAAATTTACAAAAACAATATTATCACAATTATTTATTTCCTACTTACATCTCATCTATTTTCGATCATCTCCCTTCTCAGTGCTCCCGTGCCTTGGCTCATCTGTTGGCTTCCTTTGCTGTTATCTGACTGCGCTATATAATTTATGCCAAATCGAATAGGTTCTTCTCTGTAATACTTCGACTTTGTGTTTTCCACTACTAATCTTTTTGTTGGCCTAATTATTCTTTTCCCTAGTTCTCTTGGACTTGACATATTTCTTTGTCGAATTTGAATATTTCTTATTGGACTAACTACATTTTTTATTGGGCTAACTTGTGGTGTATTCTGAATATTATTTTGCTCCGAATTTCTCACCCAAGTGTTTACAGACTGTTGTGCTTCGCCTTGATTTGCACTTATCGGACTTAACGTTCTTATCTGATTAATATGTCTAGTGACTATAGCCCTTAATCTTTCAGACTGAATCTTAATTACAACTCCCTTTTGTGCTACTATATTTCCGACTAACCATTCTTTGTTTTTATTTCTGCTATAATTTGTAAACTGAACTTTATCTCCTATTTTGAATTCTCTGACTCGGGCTCCGTGATGTTTATCAAACCATGTCTTCATTTTACTTCGAATTCGCTCCCTTGCAGGATCTTTTGAATTTGGCCTTTCTGGATAGACTAATGCCAATTTTGTCCTCAACTTTCTACCTAAGAATTCTTCTGCAGGGGATTTGCCCATTAATGACTCATGAGGCGAGGCTCTATAATTGAATAACACTTCTTCAACCCAGTTGGGTTTTCCCCAATTTTTCATCATCATTCTTTTAAAATAATCAACGAATCTCTCGACTTGTCCGTTTGACTGTGGGTGATAAGGTGGACTGAATTTTTGACTTATTCCTTTACTTCTACAATAACTCTTAAATTCATACGATTGGAATGGACTGCCGTTGTCTGAGACTATGGTTTTTGGAAACCCATAACGGGTAAAAGTCCAATCTAAATGTTTTAAAGCATTTTTTGCGCTGGTTGTTGTATTACCGAATATTTCAGGCCACTTTGAATACGCGTCAATCAAAATCAAATATGTTTTTCCGTCCTTACACGGGCCTGCAAAATCAAGGTGAATTCTCTCCCAAACTTTACTTGGTACTGGCCACGGACTTAATTCAACCTTGACTGGCATTTTTGCTGCATCTTGGCATGCCTGGCAATTTACTGCTAATGCTTCAATCTCTTGACTTATTCCTGGCCAATAAATATACTCTCTTGCCAGATTTTTCATTCTGACTATTCCTGCATGGGTTTCATGTAGTGTCTCTAGAATTTCTTTTCTCAACGATTTAGGAATGACTACTTTGTTTGCAAACATTAGGCACCCTTCAACTATTTGTAGATTTTGTCTTCTCTCTGACCAAAATTTCAATTCAGAATTATCGACTTTCTTTGGCCAGGCTTTACTAATATTCTTCATGACTTCATTCAATACTCGGTCTTTTCCTGTTTCCATTTTGACTCGACTACTATCTATAGGAATTTCTTCCAACATAACATGCAAGACTTCCTTAACTGTTTCCTCTACTAGACTAATTTCTCGCGGAGGTCCCGAATATGTTTCGTTAAATTCTTCGACTATGGCAATTACTTTATCTTCTGTGTCGTTATTTTTCTTTATTAATCTTGAAAGACTATCTGCAATCCCCATTTTATCTGTACTTACAAACTCAATACTGAAATCGTAATTCGTCAGAATTAATGCCCATCTTTGTAATCTCGAGGCAGTTTGGACTTTAATTCCTTTCTTACTTCCAAATATTGCGACTAATGGTTTATGGTCCGTTCTAAGTCTGAATTTGCGCCCAAATAACATTTTGTGGAATTTTTGGACTGCAAATACTAGTGCCAGACCTTCTTTCTCAATTTGTCCATAATTCTTTTCTGACAGACTCAATGACTTACTTGCATATTCAATTGCTCTCTCTGATCCGTCTGGGAATTTGTGGGCAATCATTGCTCCTACACCATAATTTGAGGCATCTGCCGTGACTATGATTTCATATTGGGGGTCAAAATGCGTTAGCATAAGCTCCGAACTTAGAATTGACTTTACTCGGTTGAATGCTTGTTCTTGCTTATCTTGCCATTTCCATTCTTTACCCTTTTGGAGTAATTCATCCAATGGTCCTCTTATTTCGTGTAATTCTTTTACAAACTTTGAATAATAATTTATCGAGCCCATGACCGACTTTAACTCTTTAACATCTGTGGGTCTCGGTAATTTCTGAATGATTGCTTTCTTTTCTGGGTCGGGTTTTATTCCTTCCTCCGAGACTATATGACCCAGGAATTTCAATTCCGACTTGAAGAAATTACATTTCTCTAGCTGAATCTTTAGATTATAATATTGAATTCTTCCGAATAACTCTAATAATGTCTTTTTATGGTCCTTTTCATTTTTTGAGACTATTATCAAATCGTCTAAATATGCGAATACTCCTTCCAAACCACTTATTAGTTCATCCATTAACTTTTGGAATATCGCTGGCGCTGACTTTACACCGAATGGTAATCGTTGGACTTCGAATAACCCTCTATGGGTATTAATATTCGTTAATTTCTTAGATGCCTCATCTAATTCGACTTGAAGATAGGCATCCCGTAAATCTAATTGCGAAAAGACTTTGCTACCGTGCATTTCTGACCATATTTCTTGCGGAGTCGGCAATGGGTATTTGTTTAACTCTAATGCTTCATTTAAGCCTGTTGAATAGTCAATACAGACTCTGACCTTTCCGTTTTGTTTCCTGACTGCTAGAATAGGAGCAGCCCAATCCGCGAATTCGATTGGTTTAATTGCACCAATATTCAACAATCTGTCTATTTCTTCCTCAACTGACTTTTTGACTCCGAGCGGGACTGGTCTTGCTCTAATAAAGACTGGTTTTGTTCCCTTTTTCAAATGGAGATGTGCTTTTATTTTACTACAATTGCCTAATCCTGGTTCGAATACTTGACTAAATTTCGCCTTCAATTCCTCCTCTATACTTTTTTTACTGTCATGGACCATAAATACTTCATTTTCTTTTCCGACTATATCTTTAGGTTCAGCTTTGTTTAGACTTGTAACTATCGGGAATCCTAATTTGTTTTCGAATGCGACTATCTGTCGAAGTTCGACATTTTATTAAAATATTAATAAATTTTTATTTATTTCACATATTTTTCACGTGTTCCATTTTCTTTCTTTTTTAATCTTTGTCCCCTTATTTCTTTAAACTTAATCATTTTTTCTCTCTTTGTAGCGATTAAGTTTCTCATTCATTTGTGCTAATATAATATTTCCGCCCTTAGTGGCGATGATTAAGCTTGAGAAGGATCGCCCTTAGTGGTGTAAAGTAACTTCCTATAAAAATAAATGTAATTCTCCCTTTCTTTGGAGTTCAATCATTCATTCATTATGTATTAACTAAATCCCTTTCTCTACGTTAATATTATTATTTATTATTGTAATAAATTAATTATTTGGATAAATATTTTTATTTATATTTTGGAAACAAGTGTTGTAGGACCTAATCGAATCGAATTTCGACATCTGGCGAGCACGGCATAAAACTTGGACAACACTTGCTGGGAGGTGAATTAAATTAAATTTAATTAAATTATAAAGGCCTGGAAGAGCCAAATTAAAATTTAAAATTTTTCACCTAGGATTAACTTGGCAAAAGTTAATTTAAACTTTGAGGGGATAGATTCTAAAAAGTGGGTATAAAATTTTTTAGAAATTTATAAAATCTATATAACGGAACTTAGTTTCCTGAAATAATTGGCAGAATGTCTGTATTTACGATTCTGCAGGTAGAAATCTTAGCGGGAAATTTAAAAGGAGTATTAGAAAGGGAAATTCCGCAGGCGTTAGGGCCGAACGCTACGGAAACTCAGCTAAGAAGACAGCTATACTGGACCAAGGAAACGGTCAGAGAATTAGAAGAAAATATAGCTGAATTAAAAGAAGTATGCAGCAACAGCAAAGACGACTGTCAAAAGCTTTCAGTCAAGGAAAAAGAACTGAAAGAGAATCAATTTCACCAAAAACTGGTAGAACTAGGCGTTAGTGCCATGATAGTCGCAACAAGGCCAAAATTAGAATTATGGAATAAATTCCGTGTTCAGTTAGCTCAAAGATTAGATGTACAACTAGATTGTACAGAAATCCCCAGCCAAAACCAAAATACGTCACAGCACATGATTCGTTCGGAAACGAATAGATTACAACGTCCACCCATTCAATTACGCCGCTTTGACGGTAGGATAGAAAACTGGTGTGCATTTTGGGAGACGTACCGTGTTTTAATACACGAAGATAGCACTCTAAGTCATGTGGAGAAGTTCAACATTTTAGAGTCTATATTGGACAACGAAGCTAAAGACCTGATAGAAGGTTTACAGATGACAAATGAAGGGTATAATACAGCAATCGATCTTTTGTTATCGAGGTTTGGCAACGACAAAAAATTAATTCGGTCTTTGAACCACGAATTATTAAATTTGCCAACTAGTGAAACTTTTGAAGAAGATGAAAAACTTCATTTGAAGATAGAGAAATTATGTAGGCAGCTTAAATCTTTGAAACAGAATATTGATGATGCACCTTATTTTGACTTTAGAAGGAAAGGTATCATCTAAGGTTCTAGGCAAGTATCTCACGATAAAAGATGCTGAAGATAGAGATGACTGGAACACAGCAAAATTCAGAAACGCGTTAGGGCGTGCTATAAATCAGATTAGAAATAAATTGGAAATAAGGCAGAAGACAAATTCCGTCGTTAGTGACAGGATAGAAGAACCAACTATGAATTTTGCCGTAAATTATTCGACCAAAGCTACTAGCAAAAGATTCTCACACGAAAGAGTCGAAAGACCTAGAGGGAGAGAAGAAAGTAGATTAAATAGAAGTAAGACAAAATGGCCTTGCCAGTTCTGTGGTGGACAGCATACACAGGTAGAATGCATCAGTCTTAGAACTGCAGAAGAAAGAAGAGAAAGGGCAAGTGAAAAAGGACTTTGCTTCAAGTGTCTCAAAAAAGGACATTTTGCTAGCAGCTGTTATATCCCAAAAAGATGTTTATATTGCGGAAGGGCTAATCATCATTCTGCATTGTGTGAGCGCAAATTCGGCCAAGCAAAAGAAATACAAGAGCAAAACAAAGGCGTTAGTGCCGCGGCTACGCAGAAAGAAATTGTCGGAGCTTTAAAGTCCGTTGAAACAGATCATTATGATAGACCCTTAGAGGTTAGAGGTGATCCACTAGATAATCACAAACTTAGATCCGAGAAGGTAGCTCAAAAAATTTTTAAGGGGGGAGGGATACAAGTTGAGACGGATAAGTCTGTTTCGAATGTACCCACCAGAAAAAAATCGTTTACCAAATTCGAAAAAGAAAAAATGAATCGGAATATGGTTGTTGGTAACGTGAATTTGGAATATGAGAAAACTAAAGCAAGAAAAAGTTCGTTAGAGGACGAACCGAGACCGTCTAGTATAAAACAGAAAACGTGGGTTAGAACGCAAACAGGTATCAAAAGAAAGCCGTTGGTGGCGAAGTCACCCATATTAATTATTGGAGACAAAAGAGCCTTAGAGCTCAGAAAAATATTTAAAGAGGAAAATGTAAGAGGAATGGTCTTTGAACCAATGTCCTGGGATGCCAAGCTCTTTGATCGAGAGATTCAACTCTCTGAAAGCGTCGACACATTAGTAGTATGGAAGAACCACACAGACAAAGGACTGTTTGAAGTCCTGCGAAAGGCAAACGAGTACAAGGAACAGATGAGACAAATTGCCTGGATAAAACCTTGTGATGGTCTAGAAATTCATTGCCTTTACAATGTTACGTCATATAAGGAGCCTAAAGATTTACGTTCAATACTCATCAAGCTAAGCACTATGGGCACTCCATTAATCCCAGTGAAAAATAGGAAGCTCGTAAGCAAGAGTGGAAGGGACGTATTGAAGATGGAACCAAACAGCTCGTATGAGAGCAATCGATATGAAGATGGATTTCGGGAATTTTATCCCAGGAAAATTGTTGACGAACTAAACATTGGACCATGCATTAAATTTGGCCTTGGAGCCATAAACGAAGTAGTTAACCATCGAGTGAGACCACAAATGGCAACTATCAACAAAAACTGGCACTCAAGAATATGCGCACAAATGCCAAAGATGCAAAGAACAAAAGAAGGATGGCTGGAACCAATTTCTCCTTTAGTGGGAGGATGTCGAAGTTCGACATTTTATTAAAATATTAATAAATTTTTATTTATTTCACATATTTTTCACGTGTTCCATTTTCTTTCTTTTTTAATCTTTGTCCCCTTATTTCTTTAAACTTAATCATTTTTTCTCTCTTTGTAGCGATTAAGTTTCTCATTCATTTGTGCTAATATAATATTTCCGCCCTTAGTGGCGATGATTAAGCTTGAGAAGGATCGCCCTTAGTGGTGTAAAGTAACTTCCTATAAAAATAAATGTAATTCTCCCTTTCTTTGGAGTTCAATCATTCATTCATTATGTATTAACTAAATCCCTTTCTCTACGTTAATATTATTATTTATTATTGTAATAAATTAATTATTTGGATAAATATTTTTATTTATATTTTGGAAACAAGTGTTGTAGGACCTAATCGAATCGAATTTCGACACTATCCATGGCAGACCAAAGAGATTCATCCTTGCCTTAGTTACATAAACTACCATCTTTTCTTCGACTTCGTTAAGTCCGACTGTGCATTCAAAATTCCCAAGAATCGTAAACTCATGACCTGTATAACTTTTCCCAGAAAATTCGACTTCTGACAAGACTGGGCTTCCGACTAATTTCCACGTATCTTCAGTGATACAACTGATTTGTGCCCCCGAATCAAGAATAAACTCAACATTCACTCCATTTAATACAACATCTTTTTTTAGCCAATCGAATTTCTGGACTGTTCCGACTGATAGAATTTCTACTGTTTCTCTCTTTTCGAATTTAGACTTGTACCACTCATGAATTGTCTTTGCAAAACTCATTTTTGACTTGGTAGTTGACTACTCGATTTTATACGAGTTTAGCTGTGCGACCGCGCCACTGTTACGTATCGACTTGCGGTGTGTCCGATACTAACAGAAAGACTCGACTAACAAACAAAGGTTTATCACAAGCAACAATACAATAGGAAATAGGCGAGACTATGCGTTGGCTTTGACTAGAATAACAGACTAACTTTAGACTGACTATAGACTAACAACTAATCCCCGACTACTAAAAGGCTTCGCCTTTTATACTAAGCCGCCACCCTAACACTATTGGTCGTGAAGATTGAGCGATAACGACCTCTTGTCTAGGGGTGATTTAAGTATCAAACCCTCTTATGATGTTGCTATCTTTTGGGTGGTTTTGACCCTTTATTTGGTAATAGCTAGGCTAAAGCTACTGATAAGAAGTAGATTGTCATGTATGAAATCTCAGTCTGAATCATGTATGCAATCTCAGTCTGAATCATGACTGAGATTCAGTCATATCCCTAAAATTCATTAACCCATTATTAATCACAAAATATAAGCTATTCTTAAAAATATTTTTAACTGTTACTTTCCGGAATGGCTGAAAGAGAAGAACTTTTGACATGCTTTCCCTTCTTAGTTGAATTTGCAATATTTCCTGCAGTTTCTAAATTTGAATTGGTACTAGAAGAAACTGTTCTGGATCGTGACAATGTTGCTGTCGTAAACGAACAGAAGATAATGAAAATGAATAGGAAATAATACAGCTTAAATTTTCGCATAGGATTTTTAAAAGGGATTTATCTAAAATTTGTTCAAAATAAAAAAATATAAATTATTAAAATCTCAAATGAATAAGCTAAGGAAAATCCTGTTGAACATCACTATAAGTTACATCCTTGGGACTAAAAATTTTTATATTCTGTATAATGAAGTGTAACTTAAATTAGATGCAAGGGTATGTTTTTTGAAGTGAATTAATGTTTTATAATTAAAAAATTTTATTATAAATTTTTAAAAAAATGTTGAGTGTAGCGCGCTGTCTATTTTAATAATTTTGTCTAAGATAAAAGCCACGTCATTAAATCAATATAGATTTTGATTAAAGGGAGAGGGGGATATAAGATAAGAGAGTGAGAGGGGGATATATGCGAGTGAGTGGGATATAAGAGAGCGAGGAGGGGTGAGAGTGAGAGGGGAATATATCCCCTCTCATATATTCCCCTCTCACTCCATATATACACCTCTCACTCTCATAGCGAGGTGGGATATATGAGAGGTAGAGGAGGATATAAGATAAAAGAGTGAAAGAGTGAAAGGGGGATATATGAGAATGAGCGGGGGATATATGAGAGTGAGAGGTAGTGATATGAGATTTAGAGGGGGATAAATGAGAGTAAGAGGGGATATATGTGAGTGAGAGGGGGATAAATGAGAGTTAGAAAGGGATATATGAGAGTGAGGAGGAGATATATGAGAGTGAGAGAGGGATATATGAGAGTGAGAGGGGGATATAGAGAGTGAGAAGGGTATATATGAGAGTAAGAGAAGGATATGTGAGAGTGAGAGGCGATATGTGAGAGTGAAAGGGGATATATGAGAGTGAGAGGGGATATGTGAGAGTGAGATGGGGCAATATGATTGTGATAGGGGAATATATGAGAGTGAGAGAGGGATATTTGAGAGTGAGAGGCGGATATGAGAGAGTGAGAGAGGGATATGTTAGAGTGAGAGGAGGACAATGTATGAGTGAGAGCGGAATATATGAGAGTGAGAGGGGGATATATGCGTGTGAGAGGGGGATATATGAGAGTGAGTGAGGAATATATAAGAGTGAGAGGTGGATATATGAGAGTGACGGGGGATATATGAGAGTGAGAGGGGGATATATGAGAGTGAGAGGGGGATATATGAGAGTGAAGAATGATATAAGATGAGAGATTGAGGAGATATCAGAGTGATAGGCGATATACGAGAGTAGGAGGGGGATATATAAGAGTGAGGGAGGGATATATTAGAGTGAGAGGAGGATATGAGATAAGAGAGTGAGGAGATCTCAGAGTGAGAGCGGGATATATTAGAGTGAGAGGGGGATATATGAGAGTTAGAGGGAGATTAAAGAGTAAGCAAGGGGTAGGGAATGAGAGGGTTAATTTTTTCCTGAAATTAACCTGTAAAAAATAAATCGATGAAAAAATCATGTTAATCCTCATATACTTTTTTAAAATCATTATAAAAATATTTAAATATTCCATAATTATTCTAATAATTATACATTTCTATATAGTTTAAGTCAACTATGTGTTAATATTTTAATGCTAATCCTCAAATAAATAAATTATACCAAATTGAGAAAAAAAAGATATTTTCATATTTTATTTTAAAATTTTTAAACAAAAATTGAATCTAAAAAAGAGTGATTTGCATATTAGTTATTTTAATAATTGACTGGAATAATAGATAATCATATGTTTGAAGATTTTGAATAATCGAATAGGTAATAAACTGACAGGAAATTAAGAATAATTTACTTCCGGCTTAACAGAGAAACAATGCTCAATCACTATATAAAGCTAAGGATATCTTCAAGTTATCAATCAAAATTAAATTGAGAGCCTAGTTTCATCAATATTTCCTCATAAATTTAACGTAATTTCATTAACGTAATTCCTTTCAAATTTGAATTTTACTTCAATTTCAATAGTAATTTCAAGTTTTTCCATCTGTTTTTAAATTTTATTGTACCAGCTTACATATTATTTATGAATTTTTAAATTGAAAGATAGGGAAGATTGTTGCTGTAGTAAAATATATCTGAATTTTTTAATCAATCACGGCTTTGTTTCCGTGCATTTAAAATCAAAGCTCTGGCTAAATCGAAGCCGGCTACCTAGCTATCACCCGCAGCTATATTCATTTCTGATTTTTCCTAGCTCCGGAGACGTCTCCTGAACCCGATGGGAAACGGAACCTCTTATCCTTTAGAAACTTAAATTTCGGATGGAACTGAGTGATTCTTTGAGACACTGTGATATACAGAATTTTTAATCAAAATTATCATTTTTAAGGGTTAACTCTTAAAATTTGGACGTAAAAATGATTGCTTTTTCTTCCGCAAATTTATGTTCATTTATATTTTTTGTTGCTTTAATTGCTAGCTATGCCATTTTACCAACTAATGGCCAAGCAACATGCCCTTCCGATTGGATCTCAAGAGTGGATCCAATTGATGGCATCACATATGGATATAAAGTTATTACGAGAGATTGGCTGAACTATTATGAGGTAGATAAATATGGGATTTTGAACAGATGTTGAAGCCAATATCTTATTAACAGGCTCAGGGCTATTGTGTACGTGCTGGCGGACAAGTAGCATCAATCCACAGTGCTGCCGAAAACTCCTTTATAGCTAATATCTCAGCTGCCCAGCTCAAACAGTGCCAAACAAACGATTCTGTTTGTGCTACAAGAATTGCTCATACTAGCGCCGGATGGGCCTTCCTTGATAGTTTGATGCGTTCCTTCTGGTTTGGAATGAATCGAGTACAATACCAGCCTTCG